AGTGCAAGAAAAGCAACTTGGAGATCAAGTCTATTAGCTTAATTAGGACTTTAGTATATTTTGTTTCCTTATTGCTTTTAATTATTGATTTAGGAGATCTAGTTTGATTAGGCTTAGATTTATTTATGTACCTATAAATACACATGTACCTCTTCATTATTAAAGACCAGAAAATTGATAAGTGAATAGAAAGGGGAACATTGTGTTCTTTCGTGTGTTTAAACAAGGCCATTAGTGCGTGTTTATCATACAAATCGTGTTGGAGAGAAGGCCCTGAGAGTGTCTTGAAGTCACACGTGTCTAAGAGAAGGCCGTAAGTGTGTCTGTTAGTCGCACCTATCGTGTGTAGTCGAAGGCCCTGAGTGCGCGATTACTCAAAACAAATAGACAGAAACCGCGATCGTTCATCATTGGTGCTTTCATTGAGAGAGTCCGATCAAAGTTTTTGTCTATCTATCTTTTTCTTTTTTCGGTTTACCTTTTGCTGAGGGGGCTGAAATTTTTCTTTGTTTTGTTCGAATTTTTCTTCTTTTTTCATATTTTTTTTTCGTGAGTCTAGAGTCAAAAAAAAAGTTTCATCCTAGTTGTTTTGATTTTATATTTTTAGAGTAAAAAAAAAAAAATCATGATGTTCGAACCATTGGATGAGTTGGATCTGGAGGATCTCGAATACCGCGAAGGTTTGGAGAGGGAATTAACCCCTTGGGAGCAAGAGTTTTTGGAGGATCTTCACGAATGAAGAGATTGGGAGGAGCGCAAACGTCAACTCATGGAAGCAAGGGAAGCGGAAGTGGGCAACGTTCAGAACAATGATGATGAAGGTGCGTTAAATTTCATTATCCTTGAGGACAAGAAAAGTCTTGAAGAGGAGGGGAATGATACGGAAGTGGTCATCAACCCCGGTGAGTCAAGCGATGGAATGATCGAAGATCTCGATTTATGGTTGGAAAATATGCTGGAGGAGCCATCTAGTCCGATTTACCAACCATCATGCGTGAGAGGTTGGCCAAAAGGATGTGGTCCAAGGTCGAAGCTGAAGGCTAGGAAACGCAAGGCCAAGAGACGATGGAAGGCAAAGGCTAAAAAGGCGAGTCATTGTTGCGGGCCTTGTGCAAGGAAGAAGCGAGCATGGAAGATGGAGGCTCGAAGGTGAGGTAAACAAAGGATGGAGGACGGATGGACATGGAGTGCTAGAGATTGCAAGGGGACGGAAGATAAGTGCGTAGAAGGATGGGACCCATGGGACGGGCCAGGATCATCGGGAAAGCAGACGGAGTCGAGCGGCAACAAAGGGGTCGATGGAGATCGGCTAATGGGCGAATGGCGTGCATCGGCGCTGCTGGGCACTAGGCTGTCGGGCGCTGCGCTCGCTAGGAGCGCGGTAGCGGCCGCGGCCGGCTCCTCACCGGCCGTCCGACAACTTTTCTAGTGACATGCAACTCATATCAACTTATTATAATGAAAAGACATAAAAATACAAAGAAACACTAAGAGACCTCGGCTCAAAATGCATGTAGCCCGGTAGGGCCGATAAGGCACGTTCGGGCACTAAGGTCACCGGACCAACTTCTAAAACTTGCACAAAAGACTATGTCCGAGTTATAAGCAACATAAAACATGGTTAATGAGGCTAAAATGATGGCTTATACTTGCATGCATACTAATGTGGCTCGGAGGCTTATTTCCTCAAAAAATAGAGCTCTAGATGACCGAGCACCCTTACTTATTTTAAGAACCTATTTTAACCCCATATTATTCATGATTTTTAATGATTTTTAAGCTCAAGAACTCGGCCTAAACATGCATGCAACAAAAAATACGATTTTAAGGCTTTAAGCTTCAAGAATCTGAATTTCCCATTCTACACGAGCAAAACTTGATTTCTCTACATGATAAATCTTAAAATATCATGTTATAGCTAGGATAAAAATATAGCATGAGCTAACCTTCACCGAAGTCGAAAATGAGACTCAAGCCCTCAACTCGGGTCTCCTCGGGTCGCTATAGGCCGTGGCTTGACTCGGTGGCCTTTGGTTGGGAATGATGGCTTCTCTAAACTCCTTATACTCCCAAGGATGATATGAACTCGGCTTGGTGCAGCAAAACTTGGTTAGAACAAAAGATAGCTCGGTGTTGATGTCTCTTGACACTAGAATGCACAAGGACTAGCTTCTCTCTATTTCTCTCTATATGCTAAGTGTTTGCACGAATTTACTAACTTTCTAAGAGCCAAAATCAGCTGAAGAGTGAGGCATATAAAGGAGTTCTTGGGCGGATTGCCCTAGGCTAGCAAAAGGGGACAAAGGCTCTTCCACATGGGCATGGGAGTTTGGGGAGGTTTTGGCTTGACTTGGCCTGGTCTTTCCCGGTTTCCTTGGGCATTTTCAGAGCATCTTTGCTGCTAAAACGTGGCTGGACTAGTCCTAAGGTACTAGAGACAAAATACCTTACACTATGCTAATAAAATATTCACTAGCACATGCCCCACTTAAGCCCGATGCTAATGAACTTGCTTAAACATTCTTAAGGCAATCTTGGGCTTAAATAATTCTTAAACCATCTGAAAATACTCACAAGGTATTGGAATTAAGAGAAAATGGCAAAAAACTTAGAAATTTGGGCTGGAAGGTGGGCTGGCTGTAACGCCCCATTTGTTCAGGATTATTTTGAGAATATTATCTATTTTATTTTATCCGAGATTATTTAATTCGTGCTCGTTTGGTGGTATAATTGATTATGTGATAGTAATTGCCTAATTTCCTTAGTGTATTATTATTGTTAAATCCGATCCCATGCTCCAAGAAACCTGGCCACCATGATCCCGCCAAACCGCACCGCATGGCCCCAAACGGGTTCCTCCTACCCGATTCTTCCATCTCATGCATGGCAAGTGCTTAATTTTGATTTCAAAATTTTGAACCCCAAGAATTCAGCTTTTATCCCCTTAAATACTCATCAGTCAAATTAATTGGGGAGGTTACGTTTTTAATTTTGCT